TCAGCAGGGCAGGTTCAGAAGGACAATCTTAATAAAAACAATTGATTAAGATTTAGTAATACAAGTAGCCACTGAACATACCTGGGTTTTTCTGTCCTGGAAAATAGGCTACAGATGTTATGATGGGTTGTGGTTGATACTCTGCTTCATCACACAGTATCAATATTAAACTACACTCAGGCTAAAGAAAAATAAAAAGTTTTAAAAATGGCTAGACAGGAGATTTTCTTCAAAGAGTTCCTCTGCAGTGGAATTTATCTTATCAGAAAGAACAAACATTTTGAGAATCCAAGAGAGGATATAAATCTGATATTGTGATGATCCTGTACTCTCATTAAGTGAACAAGGAAGAGAGGGCCCCAGAGTCAAACTTGTTGCTTTTCTTTCCAGTGGCATGTAAGAGAAGTTGTGCGAAATGGCAATTCAAGATCAAGGAGAGTGCAGAAACTGAGAAATAGCCCATAAACGTAGGAAATTGGAGGTAGAAAGGAACTGGAGTTGCCATTAACAGGAATTCTTTTTTTTTCTGTTCCTCCCACTACCACCCTGGTTTTCATACTAAAATTTCAGCAAGTTTATCTGTATATCACTGCAGGTCTCAGTTTTCCAATGTGACCTCAGAGTAAAAAGTTAGCTCATCATCTTTCAAGTGTATGAGCATGATTTTGGCCTGGAGCACTGAGGGGTGGAACCGCTTCGTAAGGCAAAGGCAAGGTTACCTTCCCTAGATGCTCCCTAAAAGTCTGCTGCGTGGACACCTCAGTTGTTCATCAATCAATTGCTGAGGTGATTTTTAGGGAAGCCATCCCAGATGATTATGAAATTGTGTTTTGGGTTCCCAGCTTGTTAGGAATTGATTGATGTGCTGTTCTTCAGTTGCACATCATGTGAACAGTTCAGGGTAGTAATCTCCTGCCTTGTGCTAAGGCATTGTAGCTTGTCCGTTAGAGTCTTTAAGAAACTCTTGGGAAAGAAGAGCAGGCCAAAATTTTACCATGCTTTGTTTTAAGCTGTTTCTTTCTCTGTTGTATTAACCACTAGAATATTTATCAGTGCTTTGCAACATTAAATTATGATTGTGTATCTTTATCTTTCTAGTTCATCTGAACATCACTGGATTTTATAATGCTCAATGGCATACTAATGAAGGAGATTCCTTTCTTTGGAGCAAATATCATGGGGGTTTCTGTGGCAAGTGTCACATGAGAGAACAAGGAAATCCTTTTCAGCCACAGCACCTGAATAAGCATCTGTAAATTATCAGGCAAGGTGGTATTTTGATGCTGCTGATAACATTTGATCAATTCATAATCCAAGCACAGTATCCTGTCAAATTCTTTCAGACTTCAGGTGTTCCGAAATTTCACTTTCTGAAACTGTGCAGGATACTTTAATTATGACACGGAACACATTACTATGTTGACCTACAAGTACAAGATCATTAGCCATGTATCTAGTTTAAAATTGAATTTGTTTCAGTCCCTCTCACTCTCCGAAACTCAGCTGCGCTATTCTATAGCAAAGGTTCAAAACATCATAGTAAACGAATACAGATGCAAATAGTATAATTTTCCATACAGTCAAATGAAATAAAGCTTTTAAACATTTCCATGAATTTCGCTAGCTTTTCTAATTCTCATGAGGATGGCAAGCGTATATTAATATGAGTGCTGGGCAGAAGCCCCTAGAAAGATTTTTCACTGGAATTTGCAAATCTATACAAGTTTCGTTTTCTTGTGATGGGCAGAGGATGGCCACAGGTTTCCACAACTTTGCATGTTTTTGTGCCTACCTGATTTCTTAGTATCCTGTTTACTGGTTTTTCAGAGACTACGGGCTCAGTGACTTAAGACTGAAGCCTGTCTTATGTCTCAAACTCCATCCTTTTTGAGAAGACCTCCTCTTTCGTGCTTAGAAATTTGACTTCTAAATATTGGAATCTTTATTTGTCCAGCTCTAAGTTCCCGCTGTAACTGTTTAGAGGGGAAGGTATTTCTCCATTGTAGAACCTAGCAGTTTTTAAATGTTCCCCTGACTCCACTCCGCGTCCACCTATTCCCACAGCTTATGTGTTGCTCTCAGCCTGAATTGGCCCATCCTAGTGTTAAGGCTCAGGTTCAGCTTCTGCTTGGGTTTGTGAGCCTTGCCATGTTTGTATTAAGATGGCAAGGTAATCCTCTGGTTCCCTTTC